ATAAAAATATTTTTAATAAAAAAATTTTATAACAAAATTGTTTTTCTGTACCTCTTCAATTGTTTAAAAAAAAAGTTAGGGGGTGCAAGTGCACCCAGCTGCCGGCGCCCTTGACGTGATGTATTCTTATTATCCCTAACTATATCTGGTTCGTATGTGAAATCTCGCACATATTTACTCGTTTCTTTTTTAATATGGGATCTCGCGGTTTCATAGTTATCTAATTTAGATGTCAGTTCTTGAACATCTTTTATCATCAGTAATTCATCTAACATATTGTCTCTAATTTCGTTCGGAATTTTGGTCAACTATCATTGAACTTTGAAGTTCATCAAAGGGTTTAACTTCCATAGTTTTTAAATATTCTTCGAAATAAGCGGTAATTTTAAATTCGAAATCTCTCCACGATGTTGTAGCTTCTTTTTTTGCGTTACAAAATTTATTTTTTAGTTGTTCTGATGTCAACTTAAATCAGTTTAATAAAAGTTTCTTTACATAATCAAAATCATTAGAAAATTGATCGGGTTAACGTGCTACTAAATTAGCTATATCAAGAAGTAATCCTACTAAAATATTAACCCAATCTTCTTTTGGTATTTTAGCTCTACTTATTTGTTTTTCGAACAATGACAAATAAATTGCAATATCTGAACAGCATTCGTACTTATTAAGAAATCTTAGCACTTCTGTATTCGCTGTTTCCGCTTTAGGAAAATTAGTTGCTATTTTACTTTCTAATTCTAGTTTCTTTAAATTATATTCACGTTCTTCTTCTTTTAGCTTTTCTGAATTCTCCCTTTCAAAAGTTATTGTTGATAATAAATTTTTCACTAGTTCCTCATCATAATTTTCCGATTCCGTAATCGTCTCAACTAATTGTGGTACTTTAGCATTTTCTGGTGCACTTAATTCAAGTTCACAAAGTAAATTAATCAAATAAATTTTTCTGGCTCGACTAAGATAGGCCATTTTAAAAATAAAATGTTCTACTCACAGGTTTTGTAGAAGTCTCATGAAGTCATCACAGTTTCTTTTAATCACGAATTCACAGCTCAGGTGCATCGGCCACACAGCTTGGAAACACAAATGATCATACAATAGATCACCACAGTTCGGCTAAATCCCGGTTCGAGCCCCCATAATTTTGTGGTGTTGTAGAGGAACGAAAAAGTTTTTTCAATGAATGAAATATTTAATAATAAAATGAATTTTACATATGTGATGAAATATGAAAATGTAAATATGGAAGTTGAAAATATGGACCGTCTGCCTTGCTATTATGAGCAAGAATATTGGCCGTCTGCCCCGTTTTTCACTAACATAAGCCCCGGCTGGACAAAACTCCGGATGGTTCCGGCAGATCTTTTATGGATCACGTTATTCAGCAAGAGACAGGCGAAAACCATCGCTCCCGCATTTAAGTACTAACAGAGAATGATGTAAACAGGCTCACGTCGTACATACCTTGTAACTCTACGCATTATGGAAAATCATTTAATGCCTCCTAATATGGAAGTGAAAGAGGGCCAATATTCTAAAAATAACTCCTCCTTTGAAATATAAATCTAATTATAATTCAATGGTATGTTTTCAGCCTTGAAGTCCTAAAATAGAATTTCTACACCTATTCTTTACCAAAGACATTTCATGAAAACGAACGAGTTTTAATGGTTTTATTAATACAAAGTAATTATAATTTTTGGATTACATATATATANAAAAAAAGGATAGAATTCCCTTAAAAAATCCGGAAAATAAAAGATATAATCTTTTCATCAGCTCACACGATTATATCCGCAAAAAAGAGTGCTTTCTAATATTGTATCAATATAGCCAAAGCAAAATATATCAATACAATAGTGTGAGGAGCACTCAAAGAATTTTACAAAAGTTACAACAAATAAAATAGAAAGCAATAAGTAAAGATAACACGTAAAAACAGAAAATAAAATATAAAGAAAAAACAGAATCTATAAAGCGAGTAGCGAAATCAAATGAACTTACATGAACGAGAAATTTTTCAAGAATGATTTAAAATATTTTCGTAACAGGATTGCCACATTGCAAAATATGAAAACAAAAGCGCAAATTGAGATAGAGGCGTAACTAGAAATTTTTGTTTTAAAGTGCGTTCTTACTGCATTACTGAAGTGCGTTTGATTTCTTAGTTACCAAGGATGGGCCCGAAAATGGATGCGCACAAGGTAATATTATACTGAATAATTTAAAGAAGTTGACTATTATAATTTTAGAAAATAAATATTTATTTAAGGAAAAAAAATTTGCAAATCCATTTCGGGCAGATCCGTGGCTAAAATTATGTGCAAAACAGGCAATTCATGTTTCTTTCTCTTTTATGTTTCTAAAAACCTAAGATTCCGAGTAGGAATTACAGAGGTTCCAAGAGTTAGGAATTTTTTTTTTTTTTAACCATTTATACTTGTATCCCATCAATGATCGATAATTTAATATTTAGGTTTTTTTATATGAAACTAAAATACCAATGAAAAAAAAGTTGCAAAAAGAAATTCAATAATATAGTGAATAAATTATGAAAAGATAATGTATTTATAAAAAATTCCATAATTGTTTCGCTGTGAGCTTTTTAATTGAAAATAAAATAACTAAATTCAAGAATAATGAAATTTCTTTGATAAATATTCTCAACGCTTATAACAGTTCCTTTTTGAAAACCATAAATCAGCTTACTTTAATAATTTTTAGCTTATGAACATCAAGAACAAATTCATAATGTTAAATATTTCACTTTTCAAATTAAATATTTTTAAAACAATAAGAATTTTTACTATTTTTTTCAGTTAGTTTATTCTGCTAATGAACTTAGTTTTATAATGCCACAGTTCTGCCAAAAGAAGCTTAATTATTTAGGGTTTCATTGTCAAAACAAACTGAGAAACACTGGTCTAATAAATGAGAATTTTTGTTATAGTTTTGTGAATAGAGAATTTTGGTTTTCTTGGAAATACAACAGTTTGATACGCACTTTTTTTGCAAAAGAAATTACTAATGCATAGAATTAATAGAGAAACCAAAAACGTCATTATATGACAATACATACAAAAACATAATATGTAGTTAAAGTTGTTTCGTTTATGTTTAATTAGCCCCCATCAGAAATATTTAGTCACATACTGAACAGATATGCCTTTCAGAAATACAAATATAATGGGCATCATCCAGATAATTTTCACAATGCAGTTCAAAATTTTATTTTCATTTCAAACAGACCTTAATTACAAATGTTCTATTAAATAAGCTATAAAAGTCATGAATTATTCAGTATGTATATTTTTCATTAACATTAATAAAAATATAGTTCGTTTAAAAAATAGATACATGCGATCATCATTATCATTGGCACAGCAACCTGGGCTGCACCTCTGCCTTCTTTAATGCATTTCTCCTTATCACCAGACCTTGTCAGTTTAATACCCAGATTGTTTTAAAATCAATGTTAAAGCAGTCCAACTATCGAAGTTTTGGACAGCATCTGGCTCTATTATCAATTGGTTTATGTTTGAAAATATGTGTTGAGCTAGTGGTATTTAAACAGCAAACGTGTCTTGCAAGTCTCATTTTTTTAAAAACTTAACAAACTTTTTTATATCAATGTCCTTATAAATTTCTGGAATATGTTCTATCGTTTGCAAAATATTTCTTTCACACATGACAATATTAGACTCTTTTTAAGTTTCAGATAAACAGGTCAAAACTGGGTGTATAATAGTTCGGTAGCATGTTTTATGTAAGATGTAAGAAAGAATCCAAAACCATTTAAACATTTGTTTGGTGATAGTATTAATTTTTCAGCTTCTATTTCTATGTTGTTATTAAAGCCAATAATAAAAATTTTGTATGGCTTCAAATCTATAAATCTTCAAAGCATGGTTATATTGTTCTGTCTCTAGGATACATATGATGACAAAATAAAAACAGATTATCTTAAAAGCATTTTTTAATTTAAAAAAAAAGAAAAAATCCTAACAAAAAATTTCAGATAATTTTTAAATTATAAGCAAAATGGGCTTACAAATTAAAAGAAAACAAAAAAACATACCAATCATTGGTTCTGAAACGGCTAACTCTTGAACACGAGATACTGTTTTCCCATTGGCCAATTGGGACATCACAATGATTAAGTATTATTGTTATATACTGCATAAAACAGTTTTTTTATTTTTTAGGGGCAAATGAAATAGAAACTATTTAAATAGCCTAAAAATAAATTACACACTCAAATTCAGCTCTTGGGAATATATATTAAAAAGTTTTTTATTATATGCCAGGATTTTTTGCGATTGGTTTCATTTCCTTGTTAGTGATTTCATTCTATGCTATGATATTTTTTGTTTCAGAGCCTAAAGTCTATAAACATGGTTGAGTAGAAGGGGAGTGCATGCAGTCTTTAAATCAACACAAAAGAAGATAACAGATCAACACCAGCAGCTCATTAGTGTAATTCTAGTGATAAGTTATTAATCAAACCCAAGAAAGCAAAAAGAATTATCCTGGATATTCTGCAGAATAATAGGCATAAGTTGGTTAAGGTTAATAATGTTCATGAAATGTAAGACATATATTTATTGTTGAAATAACTGTGATGGCTCAGTAATTAAGGCACTGAGCTGACATTATGATTGATTGAAATTTGATTTTCAATAGCAGTTTGAAGCCCCCTTCCCTCTAAATCTCCAGATTGATGGGTATAGCTTTCACAATAAAAAAGATATCACACTAAATAACTTCACTTTTGTTGCAAAGATCAACGAAATTAGTTTTTTTTTTTGTCTGATTTTGTCACTTGAATTATTGTTTAAACTACTTAATTAACACAGCTAATGCATTCTTCTTGAAACACTAAGATTACATCTTAGTGCGGAAAAATCTGATAGTTTGAAAGTTATGCAGGGTACTTCTTTTTTTAATTTTAATTTTGCTAACTATACATTAAAACTACAGAATTAAAATCAAAATCTAAATAATCCTTCACAGAGCAATTTATTCAAAACAAAGAAAAGGACAGACAAAACTAGTTAAAAACATTAGTTTACAATTAAATAACAAGGGTATTTCAATTTCACAAAGCAATATATTACTAAGCAAATATAAAAAGTTACAAGAAAACCTCAATTATTAAAATGCAAACAAAGATTTAAGTTGACACAAATATTTGTTGTTTCATTGGATTAAGTATACAAATATAGATTTTATTCATAAAATTCATCAATGTAACAGTTTAAAGAAAATAGATTTTAAGATTGTTTCATAGACATGGAAAACACAGATCACAAAAATAATAATATATAATTTTCTTTTTTAGGCACACACGATGTTCAACACACTTAAACAATTTCACCTCACTGGGAAAAATGGTATAAAAACTACATAAAATACTTTACACTTAATTAAGAAACAAAAGAAACATTGTCCAGGCACTGGAATGTTATAATCAGATTCAGCATGTAAGTAATATGCTTGTGTATGAATAATGTGTTCAAAATTAGACTGACAATTTTCAAAGATTTATAATAAAAAACAGTTAAGGTTAAAAAAAACAAAAACAATCATAGTGAGATTACATAAACTTTCTTCTCAGAGAGCTATGTTTTAATGTAAAAAGTTTTCCTCAGATAGCTCTGTAAATATTTTTAGATATATGATTGCGGTTGATCAGGAACATTTCAAATATATTGCAAAGGGATTTACATTAATGAAAGATATTGAAAAATTTTGATGCAATTTTTCTGATTTTCATTTTACAATCCACAGTGCTATCTGTAAAATAAATTTTGAACTAAAACCACAAACACTGGGAGGAAACATTTACAGCCTGTCATATGATTATGCTACAAGAATTATTTTTTTAAACCTTTATTGTTTCCTTGTAATAAATTTTTGAAAACTGGTAGTTTAATTTAGGACTTCTTGCTATCTATTCATATACAAACTCACATATATACAGTGCACAAAAGAAGAAACAAAACATTTGTTCATTATATGATTTGAGGGATTATGTGTTAATTAATTAAAACAGATATTTTAAGTTACGAAATCAGATGAGGAAACATACTTCCTCTTTAATAAAGATATCTTTTTTCTACGGATCCAGATTTTCAATCTACAAAATATGGGAGAGATGGTAGCTACAATCAGTAAAATAGGGTCCCAATAGTTTAGTCAGGAATGTAGTCCAAAATTCGAATTTTTTAAGGGTAATTTTTATTTTTGTGTATTTTGCTATATCTCTGGAGCTATTTAAGTGATTCAAAAATTTCTTGCATACTATTTTTAAACGTGTTTGTCCAGAGATTATTCATTAAAAATATAATATTTAAGGGTTTGAAAATTTTTTGAGTTTAAATAATGCAAGAATTTGTAACTTCTTTTAAAATAGGTAATTTCAGATAGCCAAATGCAAAATATTGCAAAACCAGCTCAATAGTTTCTGGATAAATAAATTACAAAAAAAAGATGCATTTTAAAGTTTTTATTTATTATGATTTTTTGGTCAGATTCTATTCAAATTTAGGATTTGCAGTTCAAAACAATGGAAAAATTTGCGTACCTTACAATTCAAACATTTTTTGATCCTTATTAAATTAAACAATAAAAATATCTATTTAAAAATTTTCTTTGCATGAAATTATCTTCGGTTAATCAAGTTTTATGCATACAAAAATGTATCAGTTCTTTTAAACAGGGTGAAACATAGAAAAATTAAAAATAAGGTTCACAACTTTTGTACACTCTCCTGATTAAAGAATATGAACCATATTTTCCAGATATTTTTTCCCATAAAAAACGATTGAAAAAGAGTATGTTTATTCAAAATAGGGCCATTTTTGTATTTGTTTCCACATTATTATCATATTTAAGATAAGACCCTTGAACTAGTTTGTGACAATTTGGTCACTGTATCAAAAATTATTTTATAATGCTTGTTCTTTTATGCACTGTACATATCAGCAAGTAAATTCTCAATTTAATATTAATTTTTTAGTTATTGAGAATCTATTTGTTAAGTTCTCACCAAATTGTCATAAGAGTCAAAATTATGAATTATTGAAATTAATTATGCAGATTCATTAAAAACATCCTTCACTCCAGGAATCTTCTTGTTTTTTACTAAGCATGGAAGGCATAGGTATTCCTGATCTAGAGAGAAAAAAAAGTTTTAATTAATTAATACTGCATGAATTATAATAGCAGCAGCAACCTGCCTTGATTGCAATAAAGTAAGTTTCTTATATAGTTTAGTTTTAAAAATCTTATTCCTTAAAAAAAGTTTTTCTCCACCAAAAACATGCATAATCAAAGAAACTGTATGATATAGAGGCTTTCTCTGTTATTTTTTATTCAATTTCCCTTCTAAATTTGCATAATTAGGAAAAAATTATATGACCTTGATGTCATTAATAGCCTTGTCGATTCTTTTTTCTTTAAATAATGCATAAATAGGAAGAAATCTTATAATACAGAGGTTCTTTCTTTTACTGTTGATTTTAGATCTCTGTAAAATCTCTAGCCTTTTTGGAGGGCCGGGAAGAGGTCGCCGATGAACACCGTGCTGGAAGACCTTCGACAAACACCGACAATGTGACTCGTGTGCGCGAAGTTTTGAACTTAGACCATCGACTAAGTATTCGTTTAATTGCCCAGATGTTAAATTTACTTAAATCTGTGGTTCATGACATTGTCACGGAGCATTTGAACATGCGCAAAGTGTGTGCGAAGATGGTCCCAAAAGTGCTCACTGACGACCAGAAATTGTGGCGAGTGGAAGTGTGCCAAGAAAATTTGAACATGTGTGAAAGTGACCCCCAATTTTTGAATAACGTAATCACAGGTGACGAGTCATGGATCTTTGAGTATGATCCCGAGACAAAGAGGCAATCTTCCGAGTGGCACACGCCGGCGTCTCCTTGCGCAAAAAAGGGAAGAATGAGCAAATCCAAAGTGAAAACGATGCTCATTGTCTTTTTTGACATCAAAAGCATCGTCCACCATGAATTTGTTCCGCCTGGACAAAGTGTCAACGACAAGTTTTACGTGGAAGTGCTCAAGAGACTCAGACGAAGGGTCAATCGGGTCCGACAAGACATCGCAGCCGACTGGAAGTTGCACCACGACAACGCCCCGGCTCACACTGCCTTTCTTGTGAACAGCTACCTGACCAAGGCCGGCATCCCAACGCTTCCGCAGCTGCCCTACAGCCCAGATGTGGCCCCTGGACTTTTTTTTTGTTTCCTCGCCTGAAAAGGCAAGCATTTTGAGACGACAGAGGGGATCCAAGCAGCATGCACCGCGGCTCTCAAGGCTATTCCGGAGAATGCCTTCTGTGACGCCTTCAATGCTTGGAAATCCCGCTGGCAGCGCTGCATCGACGCAGAAGGAGCCTATTTTGAAAGTTTTTAAAGAATTGTAACGATTAGCTCAATAAATTTTTTTAAATCAACTCAGTCCTATTACTTTCCGGACAAACCCTGTATAAGAAGATATCATATGTTATAGGGGCTCTCCCTCTAATTGTCGATAACATTTCCCTTTAAAAATGCACTATTGGTGATGTACTTTTCCTCCTCACACGTATGTTTGCTACCACCCTTTCCATTCATTTAAAAAGAGTACCTGGGGATGGCTAAGGGGTTAATGTAAGATTGTGGTCATCGATATGGCACTGACCACTAATAAAACACACTAATACTGGGACCACAGTTTGGATGTACTTAATGTAAAATCATATCTTTGTTGGAGTGACTGAACATGTTTGAGAAATCAAAACTGCGTAAATATTTTTCATATGTACATCCTAAATATTTTTTACACATTAAAAGTTTTTCATGTGTATTTTTTTTTAAAATTATTTTGAGTTCATATTTTCTAGACCATGTTCAATGAAAAATTTTTATGTTTGAAACAGGCATTTACCCATTGAAATTTCAGTACACTATTTAATAATGCAAAGGCATGTTCCTGAAAAATTAAAATTCATTGTTTTGACTTTCATAGAATTATTCTTCATACTTAAAACTTAATTCCTCATAGAATTAATAAAATTTTCTTAATAACAGGTAAAATCTGATGACTGACTACTTTACCAATTCTTTTTCCAGTTTTCGTGCAAATTTTACTATATATCTAATTTTATTTATCTTTTTCTTAATATATTATTTCGTTTTCTATCTTAAGATTTATAGGGATGTTTATTTTAAATCTCTTCCTGTTGAACCTTCACCTATTGAAATTTTATTTTTAAAAAACCGTTATACTTGACATATTTCCCGTAAAAAAAAAGTAATTGACCATTGAATGTATATATATTTCTGATGATTACTATGCAATGCAATAAATTTATCTAAATATTTTTTGAAATTATAATGGAAAAGTAAAGGAATTTTATTTCCAAAATTAAGGGTAACCCGGACAAAAGTAATATATTGGACTATTTTAGTATCTACAATTCGAATCAACTTTTATGTTTGTTATGCCTGATTTTTTTTTCATCCATATCTTATTCTTTTTCTAAATTTGAATAAGAAAACAAAATTTAAAAAAGAAAATTTTTCACTTTAATACTACGTCATGTTACAAAAAAATTGTAACTTATTATTTTCTTAATGATTGTCATTTATAATATTTGATTGATTTGATAATGTAATTTATTATAAATATAAGGCAGCATTTATCTAAACACACATTTTACCCCATTTTAGAAAAAGATGCATAAGTTAAGACTTTAAATTCTATTCTTTACTTTAGATATAACTTGTCCTCTAAATTTACCCTTTCAATTCTGAACTATATTTTGTAGTATTTGCCTAGGGTAGGTAATTATTTTAGAAGCAAGATCATCAGTAGTTAATACTAATTTACGATAAGCATTGAGCATATACAAGATAGATGGTAAACATTAAACTTATTGTCAGATATATTGTATAGGAAATAGTTAGAAGCAGTATTTCTCTTTTTTTCTTTCAATTCATTGTTTTTACTTTGTTGATTTTTAACTGTTTTTTTCTATGGTCATATTCTAATTATTTTTTTCTTTCATGAAAAGTCTGGAGATTCTGACTGAAGAGACTGAAAATAGCCATCAACAGAAAAGAAGGTAAAAACATGTTAAAACTGCATTTTAACTTAGTGGCATCCATTTTATATCCTATAATTTGTGGTATTCTTAGTATTATTGAAATATTTTATTATTAGCAAATAATTGTTTATAATTTTAAAGAAAATATTTTTTTAAATCATTAAAATTTTTCAATCAAAATACTTAGTTTTGATTAGCAAAAGTACTTTCCCAAAAAATTTGTAAGTTTATTTTTGACTTTCTTAATTTAGATTTAAATAGATTATCTAATTTCACCTAATTCTAAATTAAATAATCTAAATTTCCCATTTCAATTCTGAACTATATTTTATAGTATTTGTCTATGGTAATTATTTTAGAAGCAAGATCTTCAGTAGTTAATAATAATTTATGATAAGCATTGCGCATGTACAAGATAGCTGGTAAACATTAAACTTATTGCCAGATAGATTGTATAGAAATGAGTTTGAAGCAGTTTTTTTTCAATTTAATGTTTTTATTTTGTTGATTTTTAACTGTTTTTCCACCCTCATATTCTAATTATTTTTCTTTCATGAAAAGTCAGGAGATTCTGACTGGAGAGTGTGAATGAAAACTGTTGGATGAACTGGAATGGCCATCAACAGAAAAGAAGGTATGAACATGTTAAAACTAAATTTTAACTCAGTAGCATCCATTTTATATTCTATAATTTGTGGAATCCCTTTTATAAATTCATAGCAAAATTAGAAAATCTACTTTATAATCTACATGTAAAACTCCATTTTAATAAATTTTTTCCACAATAGTTTGTAGTATTGAAATATTTTAAGGTTATTAATAAATAATTGTTTATAATTTTAAAGGAAAATTTTTATAAGGAAATGAAGGAAATATATATTTCTTAAATCTAAAAAATTTTTAATCAAAATACCTGTTTTTGATTTTCAAAAGTACTTTCTTAAAAATTTTAGCTTTTTAGCCGTCTAAATTTTTGACTTTTTTAAAAAAAGTTTTAGCTTGTTTTTTAAAAATTATGCCTATACTAGAATTACTTGTATTTGCTAGAGGGAAAAAAAAATTTTGGTCAAATGATTTGGTTTTATCATAGCTTATATGTTATTTTAAAGTAAATTTTTTTTCATAATTTTTAAATATTAAAAATTATTACACAGCTGTTATTAAGTGCTATGTACTGTTATAATATATATATATATAAGCAACAGTAGTAAGGGTGAAAAATTGTAAAACATATAATAAATTTCAAAAATTTTCTCGTTATAATTTTAACTCAGTTAATTAATTGTAAAAATAGTAAAAATAGTAAAAAAAAATAGTAAAATACCATATTATTGTTGGCCGTCATTCAACAATATGCTTAATAACTTAAACTTTAGAACTTACTAGTCAAAAGTTAAGTTTTAGTGAATTCTTTTTTATTTAATCTTGTAGTTTTATAGTTTTATAACACAAGTATTAAAATGTGTGATTCAAAAGAAAAAAACAACAACTCAACCAACTGTCTTTTTCTGCGAGAAATATAAAACTTGTTAATTCATTTAAGACAAAAATTTTAGCTTCTGATCATTTATAACTTGATAGTTGCTTAATAGCTTGATAACTTGAAAAATAAACAAAACAAATCTTATACATTATTTCCATTCTAGAAAAACTATTTTTAAAAAATAAATCAGCCCGATTGGCTAGTAACACTTCAAATTCTTCCTTGTAAAAGTAATTTTAATAATTAATATATTAAGGATCCTATTTCTAGCTGACGCATCTACTTTGTTATAAAGGTTATTATAACTGATTTGATTTGTAAGCTTGATTGAAATACACTGTTTCAGTTTGGTGAAAATAAAATTTTTTTCGTCATTATACATAGAAGAAGTTTGAACCGAATTTTAGATTTCTATGTAAACCAGAAGAAAGATGTTTAGAAAAGCTTTATTTTATTCCCTATTTTAGTTAAAGAACATCAACCTTGCCTTTCCGAAAGCTTCTTACTAAATATTTAAAACAAGAGTGAACACTCATAAATTGATGCATCAGTTTGCTTTTACTAAGAGTTGAGTATTAGAATAAATTTCAGTTTGACCTTATTTACTTTTTTTAAAAATAAAAATATAGTGTACAACCCTGAAGCAGAAAGTGCATAAAACTGTGATGTACGTCGCAGAATAAACTAAGTCCTGCAGAACAATTTGTATCTTGAATAAGTGACAGCGTTTCCCTGTGAACCCCCCCCCCCCC